AGAACCAACCGTCAATTATCACAGCGGATGGCCGAACACATTCCAAAGTGGTTAGCGAAGTCGATGACGCAACCTATGTCTAGTAATCAGATGGTCACACGTAACCCGGGATCATCAATTGCAAAACACCTCATGACAACCAAACACACAGTTGATCCCTCTTGTTCTTTGGTACCTCCAGTGTGGATCCACTCAAAGGCTCTCCAGTCCTTGGTACGCAAGGAACTACGTCTTTGGTTTGGTGGCCGCATACAATATTCCCCAAATTAACTGGGTGCATCACCTGGATAGGTCTATCATGAGTGACTATTATACGCCCCTGAGTAATATCCTTGGAGCTCGTGATAGTACTAGATCTCTTATGTTAGTGTTTGGAAACACCACTAAGAAAGGCTTTGGACCACTTGAGCTTTCCCCTTTCCACAGGCCAATTTTGTGGCACTTGATGAATGAGGTGTTGGGGGGCAACCCTGCCATCATAAACATGTTTTGCACATGGCGATGCTCAGCTTCTCGCCTCGGCTTCGCCATGTTAATAACTGGCTCCGCACAATGATTCAGGAGCAAGTTCTTATTTCTTCCCAGTGACACTTCATTGCTCTTTTTCACCAGCTTAATTTCTCTCTGTAACTACTCGATCCGTTGTACCATTTCCCGGTAGTTCGGTTGTCTCTCAGGTTTAACAACAGACTTCTTAGCCTGTAAAGGCCTCAAAGTCTGTTTTTCAACTTTCTTGTTTCGGTTTCCGGCTTCTTTTATTTCTGTACTTTTATTTAGGAAGACGCCAAAGTAACCCCTTCCGGTTTCTCTTTGTTTTCCTTATTAAGGTGAGCCGGTGATGCATTCAGAATTCTCCTGAACTCCTCGGCTAGTGTTGCCGCAGTGTTTGCAAACCCACTTAAAAGACTTGTGCTCCATATGAAGCTGATACTCCTTTTTGCTCATTTGAGATCATCGCTGGTGGCACTATACTGCACAACCACCGCACTGAATCCCCTCGGCGACAGACTCTGCCCAACAGTTGGACCCACACGCGTTGGAACCTTTGGAATACGCCATTCCAAGTTCATCAAGAAATGTCCGAATAAAAAGTTCTCTAACTCTGGAAAAGTAGACACAGGTGATACCAAAAATGTAAACAATACGCTTTAAGAAACTCAAAAATAAAATACTTTAGGCCTGCTAACCACCAAAGTATATGCAGAAAAATTGCCCAGTAGAAGGTTTGTGGTTTTTGACAGATCACGAACGACACTGTTAAACGTAGAGCTACTTTAAGAGTTATTTGAGTGAAATATCTACTGATATTTCACTAGTACCGGACAAAAATTGTGAACGAGATGGAGCACAGTGGAAATTCACACCGCGCGCTAACGTACCGTAGTTCAGGTCAGTATGTACAGGACGAAATGTGGCTTCCAGACAATCAAGCCTCCAGACTGTTGTGTTGTTGGCGGTGTTTGTAGCTTCCAACACTGCGTATTGCCGATTCCATTGATCGACCGTTGGTGGGTCTAGTTGTCTCAGTCCTCAGTATGCGTTCTCAACTGCGGTGTTTCTGAAAATAGACAGATGAAACTCAGCGGTCTAGGCCTGGGCCAGGCTGCCATAGGTTAGTATGAATGACCCTGATCCTGACCATTGACACCTGGTGGAATTGTCATAAAATGTCAAATATTGACAAAATGTTGAAAACCGGTTCTCATAGCTCGAGTGAACTGAATTCCATTTCGCCTGACATCATCAGNATCAGTGCTTGTGAAGAAGCCACTTCACAAGCACTGATGATGTCACCTCGGCTGGTGATGAAACGTTTGCAAACAAATTGCCAAGCTCGGCGAACAGGCGAAATGGAAAATGGAAAATGTTGGCATCTGATAGATTCACACAAAATGCCTAACAAAAAACACCTTTATCTAGCATACATCCACATCTGTAACATCAAACTTTACTGGCTAGAGTGCGTGGGTGGTTTCTTAACTCCTTACACCTCAGTAGGCCGCTTCTGGGTGGACGGTTCTCCAACACTCATCCGGGGCGGTCTTCAATGCTACTACAGTGCTGCATCTGACCATGTGTTCTGGCAGCCTATTCCACAGTGGGATCACCATGCTGGTGAAGAACCTTGCCTGGAGTTACAGCCTACTCTGATGACGCTGGAGTCTGAAGCTATGCCCCCTGGTGCCACTTTCCGGGATCACAGAGAATAGTTACTCGCTTTTGATGCCTAACAGACCGTTTATTATTTTGAACGTTTCAGTTAAGTCACCCCTCATGCGTCTGCGTCGAACGGTAAACAGGTTTAAGTCCTTGAGTCTGTCCTCATAATCATTGCGGTTTTGACCACATAACATTTGGGGTGGCTAGCCGTTGGACTCTTTTTAGGCAACCTAGGTCCTTCTGTAAGTATGGTGCCCATGCCTGGACACAATACTCCAAACGTGGCCGGACGATAGCCTTGTACAGCGGGACCAGAACCTGCGGGTCTCTGCAGGGCATCGTAGCATTTATCCTAAAAAGTTCCCCCTAACCTTATTGGCTGACGCTATGCACTCCCTGGAGGGCTTGAAGTCACTAGAGATCACTACACCTAGGTCCTTGGCATGCGCTACCTCCATCAACTACCCTATCTGATCAGGGATGTCGGCCCTTCTTGCCCCTAGCTGTTGACATTTGGCTAGGTTTAACGGCAGGTCCCACTTATGTGAACAGGACAGTATAGCTTCAATGTCTTCATCCAGGTCTGCACCAGCCACCTTCAAATCGTCAGCAAACAAGTAGGTCGGGTTCCACAGCCCCGACGGTAGGTCGTTTATGAAGATGAGGAAGAGTAATGAGCCCAGTACAGACCCCTGGGGTACGCCATTGATCACATCTGCTGGATCTGCAGTGCACGTGCCAACTCTTACTCTGAAGGCCCTCCACCTAAAGAAGTTATTCACCCAGGTCCTGGCCCTCCTTGTAATGCCTACTGTTAGCATCTTGTGGTTCAGGTATCTGTAATTGGCCCCACTTTCTGATCGCCCATATCTCCGAACTCGTTGTCATACATCTCCTGGAGGGCT